TTCGGATTTCTACTACGCAAGCAACCTTCCCATGTCAATGCTACGCACGGCGTTATACATGAGGCCCCTGATCTAGGGGGTACAACTCTAAAACACCCTTATGAAAAAGATCGGTTTACATTTTAATAATCAAATAAGTATGTGAACATAACCATAACCTACGATAGTCAATAACAAATAAATGTAGCTTATTTTATTTTTGTTGTTCATTCATATCTTATTTTACCTAGTTAACCTAGCGCCCACCGGACAGGGCAAATTAAACCTGTAACCAGGGTGAAAAGGGTGTTACATTTTCTTAATTATGAATGTTGTTACATCAAGGCCGAACATTCGGATGAGCGCCAACGGTCAAAAATGTTTTTTCCCTCCCAGAGCTACCAGCGCTGCGCCACCTAGATCTGGCGCGCTAGGCGACCGCCTGTAACACAAATACTACAAATCTACATAACAAACAATCAAAAATGAAAAAGGGTCGCCATTTATTATTATTTTTAAAAAAAAGTTAAAAAAAAATATATAGATATTTCTTTGGGTACCTGGCTGGCTCCCCCTAGCAGCGGCGCTCATATTTCAGCAGCGGCGCTGCGCCGCCACTATTTGTATATAGGGGAAACACTGGTACATGTTGCTCTGTTGGAGGAGGACTTCAGTTTGTAATTGACATATCTACACTGTAGCTAAGGTGCAAGTGGCAATAAAGCCTTGAAACTTGAAACCTGGTCTTCACAAACTGGATCAGGGTTGCAGTCGAATGGTCCAAAAATCAGCTCCTGTCGTCTATCTAGTGAAACGTATGCTCGTCACCCTCTCCCTCCGGTCCACATTAATACAAATGATCCCAATACGTATGATTGGATGAAAAGATCTTAAAATCAATACAAACATATTTATTATAAACGTTATTCCTTAACATCTATCACTGTGTATATCACCATTCAAACATCTTTTTTAAAAGTTGAACAAACCCCACACAGCTCAGTGAAATGTTGACTTTATTTGATCATTTCAGTAAAAACTGCTTATTAAGCATTTTAAAACATATGTGGTAAGTTGCCAAAGTGCTTTGTTTTGACCGTTCATCAGTATTATAATCGGAAAGTGAAATATGAACGTTCAAAACAAAGCACTTTGGCAACTTACCACATACGTTTTAAAATGCTTAATAAGCACCGTAACTTTCATGATATCATTTCTCGGTCATAATCGTTTGATTCCGTGAACGGCCGAATGTTGTGTGACGGCAAATGCTGCGGCTGCAAGGCATTGTGGGGCAGAATTTTCTCCTCTCCTTTCGTAAAGGGAGGTCCAGTGGTTCCTAAGCTAAAGGAGGTTATAAAGGAAGTTTGAAACCTCCTTTCCTTTCATCTAGAGAACATTTCACTCCGTTAGGAAGGTTCCTAAGCGGACTATTCGACCGCAACCCAGGTCTTTTTAAAAGGTGCCCCTTTCAAACCGTCCTGACTGTAAACTGTTTCCCCGCAGAGACTACGCTCCCCGGCCCGAGTACGAGCGGAGCAGGAGCCGGGGCCGGAGCCGACCCGGCAGCCGTAGTCCGGACCGGAGTCGCGCCAGGAGTCTGGGACGGGCCAAGAGCCGGGGCCGGAGCATGAGTCGCAGTCCGGATCGGAGTCGGGCCAAGAGCAGGGGCAGGAGCCGGAGCCGGAGTCCGAGTCCGGATCGGAGTCGGGCTAAAAGTCTTGGAAGGGCAAAGAGCCGGGGCCGGAGCACGAGTCGCAGTCCGGACAGGAGCCGGGGGAAAAGCCGTGGCCGGAGCCGGAGCGAGAGTCACAGTCCGGACCGGAGCAGGGCCAAGAGCCGGGGCCGGAGCATGAGTCGCCCCCGGTCCAAGTCCAGAACCAGGGGGCAGAGCCACGGTCGCAGTAAGAGCCGGCCGCGGAGCCGCAGCTCCAGCAGCAGCTCCAGTTCCGGGAAGTCAGGCAAAGAGTTCAGAGAGCTGGACTCAGCGCGGCGTCTCAAAGAACTGCAGGAGATGCTGAGCCAGCCCACCAAATCCATCCTGAAGAGACGCCAAGACTCCGAGGACTCGCCGTCTCTGAGGGTACCAACAGCCTGTCCACAATCTGTGCCTAATCCCCTTTACTACTGTCCCCCTTTACTACTGTCCCCCTTTACTCATGTCCCCCTTTACTCCTGTCCCCCTTTACTCTCGTCCCTCACTACTGCCTACCCCCTTTACTCCTGACCATCCCCCTTTACTCCTGACCATCCCCCTTTACTCCTGACCATCCCCCTTTACTCTTGACCACCCCCCACTCCTGTCCACCCCCCACTCCTGTCCACCCCCCACTCCTGTCCACCCCCCACTCCTGACCATCCCCCACTCCTGTCCACCCCCCACTCCTGTCCATCCCCCACTCCTGACCATCCCCAACTCCTGACCATCCCCATCCTGTTGTTGAATACGTTTTGAATCGGTTCTCAGAGCACCAGGACAGGGTCTCTGGTCCCCTGGCTCACCCGGCTCTGTTTCTATGTTTCAGACCTCGGACTCCCCCCGAGGGTCCCACATGTCCCAAGTGGCTGACCAGCTGCTTCAGGCGGTTAAAGGCATGGAGCCTCACCTGGTGGCCTCGGTGCTGTCAGAGCTGCAGTCCGACCCGCAGATGGCTCAGCGCATTGGACTCGACGCAGAGATTAAAGAGATCCTCCACATGCTGGGGGGGCCGACGGGGGCCCAGGACAGGACGGAGGACATCGACGACGAGGAGAAGTTCCTGTACGGAGACGCTGAAGACCCCAAACTCCCGTCTGAGACGGTCCGTCCCCAGGGTCTGGACCTGTACGGAGATGTGACGGAGGACGCGCTGTACGACGACTACCCCCCCTTGCAGGAACCCGTCCTCCCTCAGACGTTTGGCCTCCCACCAGGGCCTCACCTTCACGCCCCCCGTGCCATGGGGCAGGTGGACGAGAGGTACCGGGCCTCCGTCAGCCCGGACCAGAACCTGACAGGGCCGGAGCCACCGGGGCCAGGAGAGCGTCAGGCGCTTGATGAGTACGAGAAGATCCAGGACCTGCTGAAAACCATCGGAATGGACCTGGGCGTGACTGAGATCAGCAAGATGGCAGCCAGGACCAAAGAGCGCCTCCACGGAAACAAGCCACCCCCGAAGACACCGACCCGCAGGCAGCGGTCGTCCTCCGGCAGCTCGGAGGGGGGCCGGGCTCGCAGGAGGCGGGGCCACAGCGGCAGCAGGAGGCGGAGCCACAGCAGGAGGCGGAGCCACAGCTCCAGCAGCAGCGGGGAAAGCTGGAGCAGCGATGACGGACGCAGCAAACGATCAATTCCCGCTAAATCCCACAAACACAGCAAAGAGTCGAGCGCCGAGAAGACGGCCGCCGCCGCGCCACCGAACATAGAGCCGCCATTAAAAAACCCAGAACGCTCCCCCGCCTCACCCCGGGCCGCCCTCCTACCCCCCCGCAACAGGTCCATGGTCTATTATGCCCCCCGAAACTCCCCCGCCCCAGGGTTCGGACAGTACGGGCAACTACCTGCCTACATGCTGGGCAGGTGGCCCCCCATGTAGCCCGCCCCCCAACATGGCGATACCCGAACACCAGCCCGAAGAGTTTCCCCCCCTCCTTGGCCGTACCCGAACCCCTACAGGCACCCCCCGGACCACCAGGGGGCCCCAAGGTTCGTCATCATCAAAGGATCATTACTGTGAATTTAACATGTGTCCAGCTTTCTACTTTTTTGTAATCGCTAATTTATTTCTATTCGAGATTTTACATTTTGGATTGTTCATCTAGTCTTTAGATTTGATGTGCATGCCTCGTGCTCGCTTTTTTGCTGGCTGGGCAACGTCAACATTTCCCAAATTGGGATCATTAAAGCTAATTGTTATCTTATTTTATTCTTATATACATCTCATCATAGTATCTGTTTACCAACCTGTATGCAGCAGTTATACACGGCATCAAAAAAATATACCACGAATGGGGCTCAGTGGGAGTGCTAGTTTTTCTGATAATGGATTTGTCAAGTCTTTTACAGTAATTTGAGTTTTTTCTTATGTTGGATCGTAGGAGTTGTGTCTCCCTCAGGTGTCGATGGGAGGTGAGCAGTCAGGAGAGGAAGGTTTACTGAGAGAAAAGCAAGAACACCGAAGGGCGCAAGAAACAGAAGGTGAGTCCTGACACTCGTGTTCCCCAAGTCCTCTAACCATGAGCTCAGCAGGCGAGTAAGAAATACGGAGATGAAGAAACTGAAGTCCTCCTCCCAACAGAGCATTATGATAGTATATAAAGCAGGAGGACAGTCGGAACACCAATAAAAGGTGTGTGTGAATGTGTGTTGTGTGTGTGTGGTGTGTGTGTGTGTTTGTGTGTGTGTGTGTGTGTTGTGTGTGTTGTGGTGTGTGTGTGTGTGTGGTGTGTGTGTTGTGTGTTGTGTGTGTGTGTGTGTGTTGTGTGTGTGTGTGTGTGTGTGTGTGTGTGTGTGTGTGTGTGTGTGTGTAGATTCTGGAGGAGAGGAGAAGCTGAAGCAGGAGAGGGAGGTGCGCATGAAGATAAACAAACAAAAGCGAGTACGTCTGATCGAAGGAGCTGGAGAGACTCAGGAAGCAGCAAAAGGGTGACCCCACACACAACTCTCACCGCACTCTCACCCACACAACACTCACAAGACAGAACACACACATGAAATGGCATTCTCTGAGGTCCAACAAGTTGTCATCCCCGAGACGCGAAACAAAACCAACAGAATACTTAATTTCCCTTTAGTTCCGT